TTTCACTTGCCCCTTCAAAAAATGCACACAGATCATCAAAAGCATTCTCTCGCGCACCCCTGCTGGTCGGTCTGTGCACCCCTAGGGGTGAGCGCACCCAAGTTTGGGAACTGCTGTTCTAAGGCACGTTTATAAAAGTTACTTAAAACTTTTTTGTTATTCAGATATTTTGCAGAGTATTTTAGAGCATTTTTTTAACTGCTTAAGTATTACAGTTGTTTTAAAGCTAAAAGGCTAAACCATTCCATGTTTAACTCAAACTGAAAGAATTAAGAGTTTCATTTCTATTCTCTATGCTTCAAGGATTATAGGGATTTTAAGAAGTAATTAAAGATTTGAATAGTTAAGTTACTTATTGAGTAATTAAATTACTTTTCAGACAGAGTAATTAGAAAAGTAGTTTAAATACAATGTTGATGAGGTAATTTGTAATTAGTAATTCATTACTTTTTTAAAGTAACTTACCCAACACTGCTTGGCAGTTGTTAGTGAAATTTAATTGAATTGAATTGAATTGAATTGAATTTAATTGAATTGAATTGAATTGAATTAATTTCGGATCCTGGTTACATTTACTTGGTATTGTGGAGTTGTTCTGGTGCTACTTCACAAAACCAACAAGGTGCTTGGAATAAAAAACAAACAAAGTATTTACTGAATACCAAATATACATATACGTGGTTAACTTTCTTAGCACTGGTGTTGTGGTTAAAGGATAAGCTATTTTATTTAATCAATTTACAGAGACAGCTTTGCTGGATTTTCATTTGTTTAAAAGGTATTAGTCATTGCAAATCATGGATTTAAACAGAATTGCTTTCCAGATGAGTGGATGTATTTTTGGAGCAGATGTCTCCAGTGTGGTCAAAACGTCCTGAAATCTGAATGTGGCTCACAGGGTGAGCGTCAGCAGTAGGTCATGTCTGTAAATTAATTGTATTGTTATTATTCCACTTGCTTCAAATCATTGGTATTCTTTTTGCATTTTTATTTCAATCTACCCTTTTGTTATATTGTAATTTCACTAGCAAGGAGAAAAAATTCTATGAACTATCAACATGCTCTGTTTTCTGAAATGGAATGTAGCCTTGACAAATTCATTACTTTCATTATATTAAGTGTTGCCAAATTGATCTTGATAACAAATTTCAATTAACGCCCCCATAAATTGGTTTGAGAAGTATTACACTCAGTTGTCTCATTACAGTGATGTAAACATCTGTCATTTAACCCCAGACCAGAAGAACCATATTTACTAATGAAATTTTTTAAACCATAACCTTCTTACTTCTTTTAATTTGTTAAATTATTGATTGAGGAAAAAATAAAATCCTTGAGATGGATAAAACTGCAGCATAGTAGAATTTTTTTCTGCTTTTAATACTTCAATTGAAATAATGATAGTGTAAATAAACCTGACATCCAGCTCTTCTGAATGTTTGTGTTTATGACAGGTATGAATGAAGCCTGGTTGCTGTAGATGCGTATCATTCCTCAAGCTGTTTTCCTACTCGTGAGGAGCAGAGAGGGGTTTGGCTGCACTGATTTTCCTGTCAGAAAGTGTTTCATCCACATTTGCTCCTTGCTGGTTAAACCACTCATATTCCTTCATCATCTCGTGCTGGTGATCACAGATGCCGATAAAGACATGCCGCCATCTCCAAACGCTTGTTTATGAGGGCATAGGGTGGAATAAATAAACACAGTATTTCACCCTGCTGGAAAATCCAGATTAAAATGGTAGTTGTGTTTTGGAACACGATAGCTTGTTTTTTACTGTTCTAATCTGGTCATTAGCTGGATTAAGCTGACGTGCTGGACCTGCAACAAGGACTATCTAAAAACTGTTGAAATCTCTTGTTAAGGAATTCATGTTTTATTCAGGTGGGCATGACTGTGTTAATTTTTAGTTTTTTACTATTTAATATTCAAAATTAAAATACTAATACTTCTACTAATAATAATAATAATCACCATCATCCTAAATTAACATATTAATTTGACAACCTTACCTATAACAAACTAGCTGCCTGCTTTTGTAGCTTACACCAACTACTGATCAGCATGCACCAGCTAATGAGCAGCTTGAACCAGCTAATGACCAACTTAAACCAGTTTACAATAGGTAATAACAAGCTTAATCCACCTTAAACCATCTTACACTAGGTAATGACCAGCTTGAACCAGTTAATGACAATCTTAAACCTGCTTACACCAGATGATGACCAGCTTGAACCAGCTAATGACTCTTAAACCATCTTAGACTAGGTGATAACTTGAACCATCTGATGACTGTCTTAAATCAGCTAATGACAAACCTTAAACCAGCTTACCCCACCTAATGACTAACTTGAACCAACTAACTACCATCTGAAACCAGCTAATGACCTGTTTAAACAAGCTAATGACTTTCCTAACCCAACTAATGACCATCATAAACCAGTTTACTCTTGGTAATTGTAATCTTAAACCATCTTAATCCAACTAATGACCATCTTAAACCAGCTAATGACCATATTAAAGCAACTAATAACCAGCTTGCACCAGCTAATGACCACCTTAAACCAGCTTACACCAGCTGATGACCAGCTTAAACAGGCTAATGACCTTCCTAAACCAACTATTGACCATCTTAAACAGGTTAATGGCCATCTTAAACCAGTTTAATTCAACTAATGACCATCTTAAACCAGCTAATGACCATATTAAATCAACTAATAACCAGCTAATGACCACCTTAACCCAGCTTACATCAGCTAATGACCAGTATAAACCAACTAAAGGCTGTCTTAAACCAGCTTACACTTGGTAATGACCAGCTTGAACCTATTAACCATCTTAAACCAGCAAGAACCGGCTAATAACCAGTTACCATGTTCCTAGGCAGATTTTTCTAACAGGAAAATATAAAAAAATACAAAAACATTTTTGGGGACCTTTTCCGCCACTCGGTTTCTCTTCAGACACGGAAATGCACTGACTGTTGAGTGAAAATAAATAAGATGTGCAGTAAAGGAATAGAGATAGCCCTTCGCAGGGAGCATAGAGGGAAAGAATGGGAGTTAGATAAGCAAGACCTGCAGTGGAGATGAAGCACAGAATGAGAATGAATGCAGTGCTCTGACCTTGTTGATCGGGCGAGAACGGATGAATGCATTTGTGATGGAGGTGAAGGGGATTGGCAGTGGAGAGAGAGAGAGAGACAAGAGGAGTGGAAGAGCAACTGGCCAGACATAGCACACATACTCATGCATTAATGTAGTAATCAGTCCCCAGCAGGGTGCATGGAGAGAATTGAATTAATTCCACATGCAGACTGTACTCTAGACACAGACGCACACACGCGATCGTAGTAGACGCTACATACTACATGCATCCTCTGGTGATTGTGGACATGACAGATTACACTGAACGCATATTCTCACCTGCTTTGTCCATGTAAAGCAAATACAGTTGTTTCATCATTTTGCAATTTACACTTCTAATGGAAGCTGATAAATGCAAATTGATTTTACATGCCTCAGGAATGCATACAATGCATGAACGATCCATTCAAATAATGGAAATATCTTACTCGCTGGCTGACTTAAAAATAACACTTACTGCAGACCTGAAACATACTCCGTATGTAATATTTTGGTATATTGTTTTCTGAAACACCCACCATGAATCATTTAATTTTATTTAATTAACATAATCATCACATTATGTTTTGGTTAGAATTATTTGTCCTTTCTCATAATTGCATGTAAATGCAAACAATTTTTTGTAACAATGTAAAACAATGTAAAAGTACTCTGACCTTTGATCGATTTAATGTGTCCATGCTGAATAAAAGTGCTAATTTCTTTTTTTTTTTTTAAATCTTATTAGCCCCAGATATGTATTCATTCTTTGAGGTTAAGCTTGCCATATACCGTATATTATGCATAATGCTAATTAAACATAAATAATGATTTATATATACTCTGCCATTTAAAAGTGTAGGGTTGATACGATTTTAATTATTGTTTTGAAAAAAGTCTGTATTTATTCCATCATAATAGAGTAATAGAGTAAAAGAATAATAAAGTAAGAGTACATTAATATTGTGAAACTTTTCTGTATTTCAAAATAACAGTTTTCTATTTTATTTTAAAATGTCATTTATAGCTGTGATGGCAAAGCTGAATTTTTTTAGCAGCAATATATATTATATTTATTATATATTTTTATAACTTTGTGTATATTGCTGAAGATTGCATTTCTCAATGAGACATGTTTTTTTTTAATAATAAAACTAGTATTTAGCCTTTTATGGCCACCATATGACACCTTTTTAGTCCAAAGTTATTGCAGTCACAAGCCTACTGCAAAATCAGCACCATCATTTACATTTTAATTAAGCTCAAATCAAACCTAATCAATCTCTTAGTAAAGCAAGTGAATAAACACGCCACTTCAATCTTATTGGTGGAAGGGAACATGATGACATCTGTATTTTTCTGTTCTCAGGTTGCTGTAGATCTCTTTATAATTACCTTCTCATGCTGATCACAGATTTTACACGGCTTCTGAATGATATAAAGATAGTCTGCAAAGCAATCAAGTGCCATCAGGCACCATGAGCGTGTGTAATATATCCAAAGGTTATGCGGTGTCAGTGCAGGAGATGAAACCAAGAGAGCGAGCCAGAGATGCCGCGAAAGGAATTTACATTCATAACTTCCGGTATGCATCATTCTGAGCCTTGACAGGGATCAAAAATCCTCCTCCTCTGCGCAATAAGCAGAAAGGCTTTGTCAGCAGGTAATAGCCCACTGCAATTTTCTGCCTCCTCACTGTAGTTTATCACCTGATCCCAGCTGCAGTTTTTCTGTGAACTTCACCATGCTTTCGTCCCAGCAATCTATAGAACAGTCACTCAACCGATCATTTAGCCAAAAATGGGCATGACACCTAGTCACCTCAGAGGCGCTAATCTCTTTTCCTCCTCCTGTCTTTCTTCCTTCCATCAACAGGGGCAGATGTGATTAATTTTGACGGGCAGGGGGTGATCTCTTACCGCTTCAAAATGAAGAAGATGAAAATTTTGAAGGACGTGATAGCCCTGAAGTTTAAAACATCAGAGAGCGAAGGGGTGATTCTGCACGGAGAGGGGCAACAGGGTGACTACATTACCTTGGAGTTGAGGAGAGGCCGGCTACTGCTGCAGATAAACCTCGGTAAATCTCATATGGAGGCCTAATAGATATCTGCTGTGTTTATGGTGCGCTTGTGTGTACCTTGGTGTGTATTTATTTTTTTTTATTAATGTGCTGCTGTAAGTATTTCTTCATGTTATTTATTGACTTTATACCTGCTGGCTTCTGTTATTTAATTGATTGTTTGATCCTCATTGATTCTTTGGTAAAAATTAGTCACATTTAAAAGGAGAGTTCACTCAAAAAATAAAAATTCTGTCATGGTTCTTACCCTCATGCAATTTAAAAACAAAAGTTTGGGGTTAGTAGGACTTTTTATTTTATTTATTTAAATTAAAAATTAATATTTTTATTCAGCAAGGATGCATTCATTTGATCAAAAAGTTAAGACATTTATGTTACTTTTTATGTTACAAAATAGTTTTATTTCAACTAAAAACTGTTGTTTTAAACTTTCTATTCATCAGAGAATGCTGGAACAATATGTATCACAGTTTCTACAAAAATATTAAGCTGCACAATGATTTTCAGCATTGATAATATTAAGAAATGTTTCTTGAGCAGCAAATCAGCATATTAGAAGGATTTCTGAAGAATCATGTGAGACTGAAGACTGGAGTAATGACTGCTGAAAATTAAGCTTTCCTTTCACAGGAAAATAATATGCATTTCAAAATATATTAAAATGTATTTTTTTAATTGTAATAATATTTCACAATTCTTTTGTTTTACTGTATTTTTGATCAAATAAATGAGCATAAGAGACTTCTTTAAAAAACATAAAAAAAATAAAAAAATAAATCTTGCTGACTCCAAACTGTAGAACACAAAAGAAGATCATTTGTAGAACATTTCAACTGTTTTTGTCCCTATATGTCCCAACATGAGGGTGAGTTTTCATTTGCATGAACTATCCCTTTATTATCTCATGGACCGCATTGCAGAAAAATCTAGCTGGAGGGAAAAGAAATACTCATAGACTGTAAAACACAAAACCCATTATCTTGTATATCATGAGGGCATAAACATCTTATATGCACTGCGAAGACTGCAGTGAAGGTGAAGATAGTGTGTGAGTGTGTGTGCACTTTGGATGGGATAAATGCAGAGCACTAATTCCGAGTATGGGTCACCATACTTGGCCACATGTCACTTCACTTCACTACATATATATATATTTTTTTTTTTTTTCCATTCACAGAAACATTTACCCCACCGCAGTCATTCTGGGTAAAAAAGAAAAAAAAAACTATGCCTATTCTTTTGCTGAATAATTTGCATTGTATTTTACACTGGCAATTCACAAACATGCATGGCATATTTAGAGACCTGCATTAATTTGCTTTGACATCAAATTAATTTTAACTAAAATGTAGAAAATTTACGGTAACACTTTATAAAGGTGTTCATAAATGACTAATAACTCATTCACAAATTATAAATCATTGATAAGCAGTTATAAATGCATGAATAAAAGGGTGATTTTAATGCAATACCTGCCAAATAGTGAGCCATTTTTAACTGGCATGTTATAAATGCTCTATAATTCATGAATACGTGTTTCACCCTACATTAAGGTTCACAGGTTACTAATTAGAATTTTGTTCCCCAAAATAAAGTTTGATAACTTCATCTTGATAAACAAAAGATAACAATTTTTAAATCATTGCTGTGAGTAGGCATCATGAACTTTTGGAGAGTATCATGGGTAAGATAAGGGAAAATCACGCTTTTTATTCATGTAGTTATAACTGCTTATCAATGATTTATAATGCATTTGTAAATGAGTTATTAGTCATTTATGAACACCTTTATAATCCCTTTACAAAGGGAACCTTTATGGAAAGTGTTACCAAATTTACTATTACATGCAGAAACATGTTTTTAGCATAAAAACGGCTTATCACTTTTCTGATATGCATTTCTAATGTGAAAAAAAAAATACTGTACTAGATGAAGGAGCCATCTTACTCCACTCTCTGTATATATTGTTGTGTTAGACTTGGAGGGTTGCAATGCCTTGATACTGTTTTTCTGACTTATGTCTGATTATTATTTTTTCCATGTAGCTGACTTTCGGAGGAATGCCTTATTCTGGTAAGCCAGTCTCAGGAGGTAGAAGAAACTTCAAAGGCTGTATGGAAAGCATCAACTACAATGGAGAGAACATCACTGACCTGGCCAGAAGAAAAAAACTGGACTCTTCTAATTTCGTAAGTCTGTTCCCTTTTCAATCAACTCCACAAACCATATCTGACTGATCAGAGTTTTAGTGCATAACTTTTCCGTTCATGACAGTTCTGTGCAAATGTAACACGTTTGGGTGGGTTGTTTTTGTCTGGAGGGTTTTGTGGAGGTATATGACCATGAATAACTGTGCAAGGTTGATACTTCAGAATGTTGAGTGGTTCAGACGTGATATTGATGGAGCTCGCATTTTAAACCTCATATCTATGCTGTATGGAACCGTTTCATTTGTTTCAACATGCTGATTGGAATGTTAATCATCTACACAGATTTGATGACTGTTGTCAGCACTGATAATAATCTAATTTCCACTGCCTGTGATAATACAAAGAATGCAATAATTGCAGATTATATCTGATAAGCATATCAGTGTTCTGTGGTTCATTAATGGAACCACAAACATGAAGAGACGCAATGTTTTTTTTCTGATGAAAATTACAGTCTTATCTCTGCTGTACATTTACACTAGCACATCATAATTCACAATCACAATTAGATTCATGATTTTGTTCCAGAGATTTGCACAAAATGAAATCTAAAATGAAAATTCTATCATTATTTACTCACCCTCATGTCGTTCCAAGTCTCCATGACTTTATTTCTTCTGCACAAAAGAAGATATTTGAAAGTCAGTAAACGTCAGTTAGGTCCAAAACAACATTGGACCCCATTGACACTCATTGTACAAAATCCACAGAGACATTTTTGAAAATATCCTCTTTTGTGTTCCACAGAAGAAAGAAAGTCACACAGGTTTGGAACAAGATGAGGATGAGTAAATTATGTCAGAATTTTTATTTTTTGTCTGAGCTATCTTTTTATTAGCGTGAAAATAGCACGATTCTCCTCCTTTCCACTCAAATTTGACATGGGTCCACCATAGACAGGCTCTGAATTATTATTCATGTCTGAAGGATTATGTTCAAGGTTGATAAAACGCATCACATGAGCAGAGGTTCTGTTATGAAGCACTGAAGAAGGCTGAGTGCACTTTTCTATTTCATTGTGATGAGACTGATTAAGTTCTCTAGATTTTAGATAAGTCTGAAGTGCATTCGGTGCCTCAAAATTACCATTTAGAAGGACGTAGAGCTGGAGAGTTATGAATAACAGTCCTTGTCATTGCTTCCATGCGGCCAGCTTAAGGTTCAGAAATCGACAGCGTGGTTGGGAACATGCTGTAGCAGCACTTTAAGGGATCTTTTTTAAGCCCATGTTCTACATGAAAGGTCCTCAACCATTTCAGACGCAGATTTATTTATAGTCACTTTATTTCGCAGCTTTCTAAGTTTATTAAAGATGTTGCATATGAGAAATACAATATGCAGTGAGTTACATCAAATTTGATGTTGTATGGAGACATCTGTTTTGTAGAATGTAAAACAAGCTGAGAAAAACATCTAGCCTGAAGTTCTTTGCTGGTCTTAGCTGGTCTAGGCAGATTTTTTTCAGCTGTGAACTTATGTTTGATTCATAAACTATTGTTCAACCATCTCAGTAGGTCTACATGGTGAACAGCTGTACGTACACTCTTAAAAATAAAGGTGCTTCACGATGCCATAGAAGAACCTTTTTGTCTAAATGGTTCCATAAAGAACCTTTAACATCTGAAGAACCTTTCTGTTTCACAAAAGGTTCTTTGTGGTGAAAGAAGGTTCTTCAGATTACAAAAAGGTAAGAAAGAGATGGTTCTTTAAAGAACCTTTGACTGAATGGTTCTTTGGGGAACCAAAAATGGTTCTTCTATGGCATCGCTTGAAGAAACTTTTGAAGCACCTTTATTTTTAAGAGTGTAAAGCTGTACGTTTCCTGCCTCATTTTCAGCGCAACCTGACGTTCTCCTGCGTGGACACGCACACGTTCCCCGTCTTCTTCAATGGCACCAGCTTTCTGCAGCTGCCAGGAAGAAGGGACCACAATATGGTGTCTGTGGGATTCCAGTTCCGTACCTGGAACCCCAGCGGCCTGCTCCTGTTCAGCTCCTTGGCAGATGGAATGCTAGAATTGGCTCTAAACGATGGAAAAGTCACAGCGCACATTAACGTCACTCAGCAGAAAAACATGCGCGTGGACATTGCATCAGGTGAGCTGACATTCTTCCCACACACAGACTCAGTGGCTGTTACATGGAGATCTCATAAGGTTTCATCAGCCTCTTTTTTGTTAAAAAATGTGTCGTTCTTCTAGCAAAGCAGCACCTACTTGATCATTTTAATGTTTCAATGTTATATGTGTAAATGCTGTATGATCAGTCAGCACCAGTTTTAGCAATATGGTAAAGTTGCATCCCAGAGTTAAATGTCCCAGAGTTAAACTTTAACGCTCAGGTTTCTCTTTTATAGCTGGTTTTTTATAGTTTTTGTGGAAACTGTGATAAATGTTTTTAGGATTCTTTGATGAATAAAAAGTTCAAAAGAACAGCATTTGAGATGTAATTTTTATTTTTTTTTTGCCTTTAATTTTGTAATGCCTTTAATCCATGCTAAAAAAAACAAAAAAAACAAAAAGGAAAATACCAAAACATAAAAATTGTTTGGTGAATTTTGCTGTCAATTAATAAAGTACTGTAAATAGAGTAAATTTTAGTTGGGTATAAATTTTGTCTCGGCGTCTCTCTTGAAGTATCTTAGAATGAATGTGGATAACATAGTCCGGATCATTTGGTCTTAGAAGAACTGGATGAGAAATTAGTTTATATTTAAGTTTCACAACTGAGACCATTAGCCCAAAGACATCTATAGACATTCTGGACACACTCGCCAAACTCCTGTGCTAATAGGCCATTAGGAGAAAGGGTAGTTACTCTTGCATTGTTAACCTCAAGGCTAATTGGGCTTCACCTCTATGGAATCCTTTATCTCTTTTAAGAAAAGCAAATTGACTCAACATTGAACTCAAGCATGGAAGAGTCAGGTAATAACTTGATGGAGTTCTATGCATAGTAAGTGCTCAGTGACGGCTATGAGATTAATGTTGTGGTCTTACCCAGGCTAATAAGTCTTCAGGATCTGAAATTTCGATCCCATTTCAGAATTCAGCATTTTATTGGATTTACTGGATCAATTGTAGACTTTATCAATGGAAGTATTGATATGGGCTGTCACTTGTTCTTCTGTACAACAGAGCACAGTACAAGAGTAACCATAGCTCTGTAATGAATCGGGTTGACTGATCATTATCCATTTGTTGTCTAATAGATCATATGATTTTTTCCCCCTCCCTCTTGGAAATATTTGATTGTTTTTTCATCAAGTATCAATGAAACCCATGCACATGTTCTTCATTTTCTATGAATACCTCTCAAATCCTTTAAAACTCCATTGTTGAAACCTTATATATTTGTCAATAGAAAGTTAGGCAGGTTTATACATGTGGTTGTATGGCAGGGATTTTCTTGTTAATTCATTCATCTGACATGGGGTATTAGAATGCAAATTGAGTCTAGTTTTAAGAGCTTTGACTTTTTTTTCTCCATCTGCAGAGAATCGTTAGCTGAAGGAGTATTACCTTGACATATTAATAAATGATTGCCTTTGTCATGCTTCTTGAATTCTTTAGTTCTGGGGTATAGATGCTGAATTGAGAGCATTCATGATCAATCTACCTTCATAAATAGCTGATAAGGTTTATGGGAATTCTGCAATGAATTGCTAATCCTCATAGCTTCAAATTTAACAATCTACTGCTAGTTGTTTGTTAAACCAAGAAGGCAGACAGTAATTCTGGTTCCTTAATTATTCCACTAACAATTATTTTAGTACATTTAAGGAAGAAATATTTGGAAGTGTAGTTCTTTTGGCAAATTATAAGATGCTTTCATAACACATAATTTCACAATTCTTGCAAAAGGTATGTTTACACAGGAATGACTCGACTTCTGCCACAGTGCTGTTCATTATAGTGAGTGGGGGGAGTGCTGGGGGGTTTCTCCTAAAGTCCACAATCATCTCCACAGTTTTGAGCGTGTTAAGTTCGAGGTTGTTAAGACTGCACCAGACGGCCAGCTGCTCAACCTCTTGACTGTAAGCAGACTCGTCACTGTCCTGGATAAGGCCGATGACTGTAGTGTCGTCTGCAAACTTCAGAAGCTTGACAGAGGGGCCAGATTGCTAATCCTCATAGCTTCAAATTTAACAATCTACTGCTAGTTGTTTGTTAAACCAAGAAGGCAGACAGTAATTCTGGTTCCTTAATTATTCCACTAACAATTATTTTAGTACATTTAAGGAAGAAATATTTGGAAGTGTAGTTCTTTTGGCAAATTATAAGATGCTTTCATAACACATAATTTCACAATTCTTGCAAAAGGTATGTTTACACAGGAATGACTCGACTTCTGCCACAGTGCTGTTCATTATAGTGAGTGGGGGGAGTGCTGGGGGGTTTCTCCTAAAGTCCACAATCATCTCCACAGTTTTGAGCGTGTTAAGTTCGAGGTTGTTAAGACTGCACCAGACGGCCAGCTGCTCAACCTCTTGACTGTAAGCAGACTCGTCACTGTCCTGGATAAGGCCGATGACTGTAGTGTCGTCTGCAAACTTCAGAAGCTTGACAGAGGGGCCAGTAGAGGTGCAGTCGTTGGTGTACAGGGAGAAGAGCAGTAGGGAGAGAACACAGCCCTGAAGGGCCCCAGTGCTGATGGTGCGACTGTTTGACATTAATTTTCCTAGTCTCACTAGCTGTTGCCTATCTGTCAGAAAGCTGGTGATCCACCGACAGATAGAGCTAGGAACAGAGAGCTGGGTTAGTTTGGTCTGGAGGAGTGCTTGGATGATGGTGTTGAAGGCCAAACTGAAGTACACAAACAGGATCCTCACAGAAGTCCCCGGTTTGTCCAGATGTACTTGTTTGTTCGGTAAGCAAACCGTAGGGGGTCCAGTAAGGGTCCATTAATGTCCTTCAGATAAGCCAACACCAGCCTCTCAAATGACTTCATGACCACAGATGTTAAGGCAACAGGTCTGTAATCATTCAGTCCTGTGATTTTGGGTTTTTTTGGAATGGGGATGATGGTGGAGCATTTGAAGCAGGCAGGGACTTTGCACAGCTCCAGTGATCTGTTGAAGATCTGTGAAAAGATGTGGGCCAGCTGGTCAGCACAGTTTGTAGACAGGCAACAGTGTTTGTATGTTTCTGATTCCCTTAGAAGAACTGTTCATAAGTGTCATTCATTCAGGAATCGGACTACACTGATTACACTGTATGTTTTTGATTTACTGAAGAGAAACGTTTATAAGAGCAATTCGTTTAGGAATCAGACTAGTTCCGACTATCAGTATCACTAATCAGACTAAAATCAGTTTGATTTTCTAAAAAGAACTGACTCATAAGAGTCAATTCGGGGATCAGACTACACTGATTGCACTGTATGTTTTTGATTAATCAAAAATACAGAATCAGAATACACCGATCTCTGATCTGTTTCAAGCTGTAGATTCAGTAAAGGTGTTGCGGCACAACTGAATAAGAATGGCAAGAAACTAAGTATTTTAGTATGATATTTTGTCCCAAACCGTTACGTCTTTTGGTTCTGTTTACTGAAATTGAAACCTCAAGTGCTGCTAAACATAAAGCTATCCTTTCCATAATGATGTAGTATAGGAGACTGATCCAGACATCATACAGGTTAGTAGGGTCATACAGTAAAATTTAATCTGTACTGTGTGTGCTTTTTTTTTTTCCTTTTGCTGCTCAGCTTGTTTGCCTCCTGGTTCCATCCCTTTCTTATCCAGGTCAAAGGTCCATTCTGCTTGTCTTGAGCTGCAAATTGGCTTTGGAAATGTGGATGAGGAGTCTGATAGTGCCGTAAATGAGCGTAGTCTTGCTAATAGGCTGTAGTTAAGTCAAATTCCAGAGGGGACACTTGTGTAATTGCCATTTTCTTACTTTTACTTACAATTGCAGCAATTCAGTGCGTTTTCAGCCTACTGATTTAAATGCATTGAAATTAGGTTTCATCATCTTTTTCTTTAAGCACTGAAGATTAACGGCCATCACGTTAAGTTATTTGACATGTCATGAATGACTCAGTGTGTCGGATCCATTTGTAATTGGTGGGAATGGTACTATGTTAGGGATTAGAACTTCTTCCCTAAATCCAAATGATTCAAGATGATTCATACAAACCATATCTGACAGTGTTTTCTTAGAATTGAATCTCTCATTAATAGCCTGATAATATGAAAATCCCACTTTTTGGTTAAATCGAGAATTATCATGACCGTATCGACATCTTGTGCTGGCAAGTTCCTCAATGTTTTTCCAGCATTTAATCATCATCTCTCGGGAGCCAATGGCAAGTGCTGATTACTTCCCTCGGTAACAGATAATTAATCATAATTAGGTGGTGTTACAGCAAGGTTGTTGCCATGGTAATCAAGTGCGCAGCTGTCAAGAGAATGATCCAACTTTTGAGAAGTTTTCTAATTAAGCATGAGGAATCGAGTGAAGATATGTTTGCTTTTGTTTGTTTTCTGCTTATTTACTAATGGACCCAGTTAGAGTTAGTCAAACGCTGCTGTTTACAGTAAAATTGTTAATCATCATAATGATACTGTCTGGGAGCGGATGTTAAATCTTTAGCGTTAAGACGCTAATGCTCCAACATGTTAGTGGCGTGGTTTAAAATAGGGTTCCTTTACACATCTGTTTTCCTTTTAATCGTTAGTGCCGTTATACCCTCTAAGAAAAAACTAATAGGTATTCGGAGCATTGCTGCATGTTCAATTACAACGGAAATTGACAGGGCGAATGAAAATTGCCAGTGATTTTCCACTCATGCAATGTAAGCCTGTAAGAACAACACTGACAAGTCATGTTGCTGACAGTTTGATGAATCGCACCGATCACAGACATGTTCCTTTGTGTTAATGGGATAAGTTGGAAAAAAAAAACTTCAAATTGTCATGCTCAGTGGCATTTGTTTTGCTCCCTATATGCATTTGGCTGTGGCTCTACCCGTGACTTCAGCCAAAGTCTGATACCTTAAAGGCATGTGAACTTGGAAGACTGAAAGAACTGCCAATTGCCTCTCTCCTCTCGTCTCTCTCTAGTATTCTATTATATATTGATCCCGCTTGTTTA